AGCTTGCGCTTTCCAGGCAGGCGCTTTGCCGCTGAGCTAAATCCCCAGCCCCCAGGCTTCTTACTTTTTAACTGTCAGTTGCATGTTGAGATGATTATACTTTAGATATATTGGGTTAATTAAAATATACTGTATAAGCTAGTTGGGCTGCTGGTGTATCCCATACACACACATGCACACACACACACACACACCGTACTTGTACTTTTTACCTCTTCAAATGTGGTTATTAGAAAGTTTAAAACTACATTTGTGGCCCACATTATACTTATTTTGCATAGTGTTTTCCTAAAGAAAAAAGACCCCAGCAAGTGCAAAGGCCATCTGGTAGACACCGAGCTTCATGTGTTTGGTTTGTCTGTACTCAGACTGCATATTGATATTTCCTTGGTGATGTCACTGAGCCTGGAGAGCTAATCTGGGAAACCTTGCTGAACTTACAAGTGGTGAGTGTATCATATGAGCATATGAGTACATTGTCCCTTCTCAAGAACAAAGGTAAGTGATGAAATCCTGCCCTTCAGCCTGATGCCTCCTTCCTGCATTCCAACTGTGTGTGTTCCCTGAGGCCGTGAATGGAGACAGAATGCAGGCCCTTGTTTTCTGCTGGGTCCATTTCACCTTCTCCCTGAGCTCTTCAGTGGGAAGGACTTGGAGCTAGGTTGAGTTCCACAGCATTCTTGTCTATTGATCACTGGTACTGAGCCCTTAGGTTATAGTATGCAGGAGAGATACCCTTGCCCAACTCCACAGGTTGCAAAATGGACTTCCAGGCCATGTTTGTTCCTTTATTAAACTAGACCTTTGCTTTCTAAAGACAGAAGTCATACAAAGGCCTTCCGGGGCCAACAGCCACATGTTCTGATCATGTTGCATGGTTTTACAATTCCTTTCAGCTTCAGATGTTGCCTCCTCAGATTAGCTGGCCTTTCCCCCAGTAACACACAGCTCAAGTTTTAATGGCTGCTCATCACCCAGGCTGCATGTTGACTAGAGCTGGAAACTGTGTCGTCTTCACTCCAGGACCCAGGCTGGCAAAGTCGCTTCCCACTGGAGTGTTACTGATGTCCTGACTAAGGGCGAGTGAGCACGGTGAGCTGCATACTGGGTCTCGATGTCAAAGCCCACTTCATGTGGCCATGCTTGAGGCTGCAGCACAGGAAACCTTGCTCCCTGCAGGGAGGGGTGCTCTGAGGGCCACCACTTGTGTGCCACCTGCAGTCCTTTCTACCCTTCATCCTAGTCCAGGCACTTTGAGCATGTCCATCCTAAAGTCACCCATGACGTCCCTCTTGCTTCTCTGCCATATTGGCCTCAGATGTTGGCAGATCCTCATGCACATGTCACCCGCAGGGGCATGGTACCTTTGTGGCCACCCTTGGCCAAAGGACAGGGAGCCAATGGCTCAGGGTTTCCCCATCATTCAGCACCTATAGCAGTGGTCAATCCTGTGACATGTCTTTGTATGGCTTCCCTTTCATTTTGTATCACTCTCTGAGATCATTTCTCCCAAAAAACCACTTGCACATAGGCCTTTTCAGGCAGGACCCACTATTGGAAGAAAGAGTTGGGACAGAGGGGACATTGACTGGTGACACAGTCTATCACAATTGCCCCTTTCCTTCCATGTCTCCCTTTGTTTTCTTCCAGAACTGTGGATAAACCCAGGCTATCATGCATGCTGGGCAAGCACTCTGTCACGGAGCTATATGCCCAGCCTTAAACTTTCAACTTAAAGCTTTTCTTGGGAAGTCAAATCTGGCAGCCCTAAACCCACTTCTGGGAAGCCCGCACAAGCCTGGGCTTGAATAGGTCAGAAGCTCCCCTGAGGCGAGACCCACATGCTCTGCACTGACCACATTTGCTGTCTGAGGGAGAAGTCTTCACGTTTTCATGCTGCTTGCCTGGCTCTAGTAGACATTTGGGTTTTAGAAACTCTTTATTATAGGGGCTGTTGGTTGAGCTATGCATTTATGATTCTTGGAATATTTTTGACCATACAAGGATTCTACTTTTTTATTTTGTTTTTCTTTCTCCGTTTTATTACAAAGTGTCAATGAAAAAAAAAATTAGGTTGGCACTGCCAGGAGGGCAGAGACAGTGTGAATCTTGTCACTGTATCCTCAATGCTCAGCCCTAGATCTGGTATAAAATAGGTGTTTAAAAAATGCTTGCAGAATGACGAAGATAAATGACTGCAGAAGTCAGCCTCTATGAGGGCCCAGGGATTCCAGCTCCTGGTTGCCATGTTCTTGTGAAACTGCCGTCCTTTGAGTGAGGGCTGAATTCATAGTTTGTTTCTATTGAAGCAATGAGATGCCACTGCTGAGGTTAGGTTATAAAAAGACTGTGGCTTCCTTCTCGACATGCTCTGTTTGACTATCTCTTCTTGGGTGAGTAGCTGCTTGTCATGAGGACACTCAGGCAGCAGAGAGAGGACCACATGGCTAGGAACAGGGACCTGGTGGGTGAGCTTGGGAGGAGATATTTCAGTCTCACATCTGTCTTTATGTGACTACTCCCTGGCTGTCTACTGCCTGCAGCAGTGGTTCAT